TGCAGCCCCCACGGCGCGCGGCAGTCACGCCAGCCTGCACAGCCCCCGCACCAAAGAGGAGGGCCTTGGCCGAACAGTGGCCACTGAAGGGACGCACACTCAGTACTGGACTCACACTGTTGTACCTTTAACCTCCACTCCTGAGGAGAGAGAGCCCCTCAGGATACCATTTGGAGATCAGAACCCTCCTTTGCTTTTTAAGAATGATTTTATTTATTATTATTTTTAAATTTTACCCAGCGGAGGGAGTGGGGAGAAAGAGAGAAGGAAAGTGAGAAAGCCAGCCACCAGGTCTAGGACTCAAACTGGTTGGCCATGTGGGAGTCTAACCACCACACTACCTGCTGGCCCCAGAGATCAGAATCCTTTAAATTAAAAAGTTCATAGTGGAAATCAGATGTACTGGGTGGACCTGGTGGCTTCTTGGGAACAAGTTAGAAAAGCCTGGCTGTGCCCTAAAAGACGACGACGAATGGCACGGCCTGGGAAGGCACGGTGCTGGAAAGCCATTAGCCAACGAGGCTCAATCACGCCCTCTGAATCAGGAAGTGAACGAGAAGGGAAGGGGGGAAAGTACATGGAACCACTACATACCAAGCACTGCTGCACACGTGATCACTTTTACATGTCTGATCCTCACAACACCCGGGAGTGGTACAGCAAAGGAGACCCAAAGAGGTCCATGACTTGCTCAAAGTTACAGAGCCACAAAAATCACGCCTCTGAATCAGGAAGTGACGAGAAGGGAAGGGGGAAAGTACATGGAACCACTCCATACCAAGCACTGCTGCACACGTGATCACTTTTACATGTCTGATCCTCACAACACCCGGGAGTGGTACAGCAAAGGAGACCCAAAGAGGTCCATGACTTGCTCAAAGTTACAGAGCCACAAAGCCCAGCACCTGGATTTGAGCCTGGTCTGCTTATGAGTCCAATGCACCAGCAGCCCCTCCAGTCAGCTGGTCAGCTGGCCCCGAAGTTCCCAGTGCTGGAGCCCATGCCCTTGGTCTTCCAGGCAGACTCACCTGTGAGCTGGAAGGCAGCACCTGGGAAGTGGGCTCCTCGGATGGGGCTGTTCCTGAGCCCATGGGGCTCAGCGTGGTGATTCTGCTTGGCTGGCCACGGAGTGTCAGAGTGATGGTGGTGGGGACCTTCAAGCCTGAGAGACAAAGGGGTTCCCTTTGGTCACAGTCTCCGCTTTCTGTTGAGGTTTTCCCTTCCTGGAGTTTCTTCTCCACAGAACACACTCCCTCAGCCTCCCCCCAAGCTGGGCCAACCGTGCCCGGTCAGTCAATCTGAAAGGCAACAGGAAGCAGCCTGTGTTCTCTCAACCTCTCTGGGGGATGGGTCAAACATACCTTGCCCACGTGAGATGGGAAGGTCCTGGGGGAAGATCCCAGATGTGGGAGTCCCCACAGTTCTCACAAGAGACTCACCTGATGCTTGGTTAGAGATCTGAGCCAGGCCAGGGAGGCTGCTTGCCAACTTAGCGAGGCCCCCATTGGTCAGCAGCTGGTGGATGGCTGTGGGCTTCCCACCAGGAGTGGCACCCAAGGAGGAGAGAGTGGTGGCCACAGGAATGGTACGGACAATGGTGCTGGTGCCCGTGGTGATGGCACCCAGGCTCTGCATGGGGGTGGGCAACTTCACACTGGTGGCCTGTGGGACACACAAGCCCAGGTGATCAGAAGCTGTCGCCCAACAGCAACGTTCGAGTTTGGAGGGCCCACAGCTTAGTGTTAAAAGGCTAATATGTGCTGAGTGCCTACTACATGCAAGGTACTCTTCTGGGCCTATTATTTGATCCACACAACAATTCTATGAGGGAGGTAAGGAAAGTGTAGTAATTACCTCATTTTATAGACAAGGAAACAGAGAGGTCAAGAAACTTGCCCAAGGTCACATAGTAAGTGATGGACTTGAACTGCTGGCAGCTGCCGGATGTACAGTCAGAAGGCTGTCTGGCCTTGACCTTGCCCCACTGACTCCAGACCCAGTCTCCCTGCCAAAACCACCTAGGGTGAGGAGGCCTCCTCCCCACACAGGCCCAGCCCACTGAAAGGCAGATGTGCACCTGTGGGGCTGGCCCTGGGGCAGGATTTGCTGGGAGGCCAGAGGTCTTGCTGCTGATATCCTGTAGGCTGAAGCTGAGGCCTTGGAGGAGGCTGCTGGCAGACGGGGCTCCTAGGAGAGGACATAACAGGCATCAGCACATGCGGCCACGCCCACCATGCTACCAACTAGGACGCTCCCCTCCCTCAGAGACACCCCAGGAAGGTCTCCTCAGGCAGGCACGTGACGGGTACCAGGAGAATGGGTCCTATGCCAGACACTGCTCTGGATTCACTGTGCACATCCCAACCAGCTCCTAACCATAGGTGCTACATCGCAGAGCTGGAGGGACACCGAAGAGAACTGGAATCTCCCACTTTTCAGACATTTAAGCTCCCTCCTTTCCTTCTACAGAGGACAGTTTTTTTTTGAGAGGTTTTTGCTATAGAGCATGTGCGCTTGCCAGAAATAGAGAGAGAGAGAGAGAGAGAGAGAGAGAGAGAGAGAGACAGGACCTGCAACAGAGGCCTGATGCCATAATCTATCCCCAGCCTCAGTCTCAGCCATCCCTGTATCATGGTCATAGGTTCTCAGAGAGGTCTCTGGAAATGAACCAAGAACCTTCCCATGTGGGTCAAACTCGTAGTGCTGTGTTTCATTCCTACACTACTATCTGGCTCCCAAAGACTCTTGAATTTGAAGATCATGGCAGTTGGATAGAAGATATGGGGGAGGCACAGTGCCTCACTATTGCCTTGGTCCAAAAGTAAAACATACTACTCCTTTATTTTAAAATTTATTTATTTTACATACTTTCACTGAATATCACCACAGCATACAAAATGAGATTTTTCCATCCAGAATACACTGTAAAGTGGCTTAATCATGCATGTTGTCATCAACAAATAGTTTTCCATTTCGGATCTTGGGCACACACGCACACGTGCCCGGCGTGAGTTTAAGCCACCTGGTCCAAGACTCGAACTGCGGTTGACTATATGTGAGTCCAGCGACATAGCCATTACACTAACTGCTGGTCAGATTTTTTAAGCCAAAAAATTCCAAATATCTGACTGCGACTTCCCCTCGCACACATCCAGTAGCTTCAAGGCAAAGGAAGGGCCCTTGAAAGAGAGGGGTGGCTACAATGGCTCGGCCCTGCTGGGCTACGGCAACTGCCTTTCAGCGAGGGGCCGGGAGTTAGAGACAGCAAGAGACAAGCACAGGCAGAACAATGTCTTGTTTTATTAAGCCCAGTAAAGCACCACGTCCAATTTCGAATCAGGTGTGTTCAAATCACCAAAGTGAAATACAGTCCAGGCACCTTCACCAGCTACTGCCTCTCCTGACAGTTAAGGGTAAGCACCTGCACGCCGGGGCATTAGTCCAATCCCCCCACCCAAGCTGACTTGCATCAGGCCTCCACGACCACCCTGCGATGCTCCAGCTCCAGTGCCAGAGTGCTTTCTTAGGGCCACTTCTAGAAGTAGTGGGAAGAGAGACCCGATTGGGAGGGGGAAATACAGGCGACAACATACCTGGAAGGGAGTTCCCGGGGGGCGTGGCCACCAGGCGGCTCTGGAGTGTGTGCAAGGCACTGGGCGCACTGCTGCTGGAGACCACGGAGGGGGCGGGGCTGCCCGAGATGACGCCTTCAGGAGCACCTGACCTGAGATAAAGAAAGGGGCTCCACCATCCAAACCCAGAGGGCAGCAGGCCCAGCAACACAGGAAGGGTTAAGAGGAGCCTGGCGAGGCTTTCTGCAATGGGTACAAGGCTAGAACCTTTGGTTTCTTCATCCCACTTTCTAAATGGTCTTTACTTCTTCTAAAAAGTAAAGGCCTCAGGTCTTGGAACAAGAGCCAGGGAATACTTCAAGTAAAAATGAAGGATTTCTTTAAGTAAAAATGAACCCTGAGTTGAGCCAAAAGAAAGATAAAGATCCCAATGAGAAAGAAGTCATATTGCTATAACTGGCACCTTCCCAAAGCACTAAATGAACCAGGAAAGGGAAGAAGGGAAAGAAGGGACTGACACGGACCAAGAAAGACTCACTTGGTAGAGGTGAGCAGGCCTGTGGACTCCCTGGCTCCTGCTGAGGCCTGCCCCAGTGTCACAGTGACGGGCTTCCCTCCTGTGGCTGCAAGACAGAAAGCCCCGAGGCCACTGGATCAGTCCTATTGGCCCCCACCTGTCTGGGTCCACAGCCCAGGCTAAATGCAAGAGATGAATAAAGACTATAAGAGGGAAAAAAATAACTATGTTAGAGTAGGGAAGCTGGGGTCACTTTTCCTCCTAAACTATCTAGAGTCTTTCATTATCTTTAACTGAAGCCAACAGAGAACAGAACAAATGATGCTAGGGGCGGCCCCACAGCTTGCTCTCACATTCTGCCTCCCTAGTCCACGGTCAGATGAGGTCCCTGCCCATCCTCCTGGCACGTGCACCCTCGTGCCTTCTCTGTGCAAGCCCCTGAGGATGAAGCAGAGGCTGAGCTGCCAGGAGCAGCTACCCAGGGGCGATGCTGCGTGCTCAGTCAGCTCTGACTTACACGGCTGAGACTCACCTTCGTGTGCACCTCCTGGGGAAGAAGCACACGGCCCTCCGGCTGCGTCCCCCTGGGGAATAAGGGACACTTTGATCTTCGGCCGCTTGGAGGTCTTACTGCCAGGAAGAGGGCTAGAGGGATGGTGCCGCTTCAGCTGGACCCTAAGGTCCTCTTTCTCTGCTTCTTCCACTGGTTCTGATGAAATGGGAACTAAGAGAAGGAGCCCAAGTGAGACCTTCCACAACCCAGCACAACCTGGAAGCCACTGCGGTCAATGCCAGCAGGGGCACAGGTGTGGTGACACATAGGAGAACCAGCCCAGGGATGGGGCCGCACTGAAGGAGATGGCTCAGGCTTTGGGCCCACCTTGCTCAGGCCTCATCCTGGTAGGCCCCACCCCCACCTCTCACTCTGCTCTGGTGTCTGAAGGGAAGGGGCCCTGAGCTGGTGGGATTAGATACCCTGACTTTTAGAAGGCCTAGCAAAGACCACTACCATCAACAAAAACAGAGGACTCACCACAATGGATCTAGACAATCCTTCCCAGACTCCTGCATCAAGCCCTCCCCCACATCAGCACGAGCTGGGAGAGTTGACGTTCTCTAGAAAACCCATGTGGCGCAGCCCAGCCAGGCCTCTCTAAAAGGGAGAGGACATCACCAGGCTCTAGGTTCCCCTCCCTGAGAGCCCAGGGGTGAGGGTCTGCTTGCCACATGGAGGCAACGAAGCCAGTCACCAGGACTCACGGCTGGCTCTGAGGAACTGCTCGGCAAGGAGCATTTCAGCCTCGGCAACCTCACAGCTCCTGCCCAAAGGTAACAGGGCAATGTGGCCCACGTCCATGGTCCTACTAGCGCAGAGAAAGGCCATCTGCCCCACTGAATCAAAGACTCACTGTGCAGAAGCTGAGCCTTCTGGACTTGCCTCCTTATAAATCTCCTCCTCCTTAAACCCAGAAGTCCACCCTAGTCCCTCTTCTTAGCATCGGCAAGCAAGGGTGAAGGTGGGAAGGCAGGCAGCAGTCACAGAAAGATGGAGGGGCGCGGGCATGGGACCACGGTCAGGGCATAACCAGCTAGAAGCACTGCTTGGGGCTAAATGCGCTGACTACAATCAGACAAGGAGGGTGGAAGGGAAAGGAGCTCCAGCCTTTATGCCAGTAAATGGCTGATGTGCTTGCAACCACCAGGCTGGTAACAGGGAAACAGGCGGGAGAAAAACACACGAGCAAACTCGAGCTCACGGGCAATAGGCCACAGGCGCACACAGAGAGGCAGAGCCAAGAATCACACTGAAAGAACCACCATGAGAGGAGAAAGGAAAGACAGCATGGGAAGCAGCTGAAAAAGGGTAAAGAAAGAGCTAAGACTACAGAATAAGCAAGGGGACCAGCAGTTAGCATAATGGCTATGTCACTGGATTCCCACATAGTCAACCGCGGTTCGTGTCCCAGACCCAGTGGCTTAAAACACGCCAGGCGCGTGTGCGTGCGTGCCCAAGATCCCAAGAGGAGAATGGAGGAGAAGGGATTGCGGCGTCACCATCCCCCCTGGGGGGGTGATTTCTCGCTTTCTGTCTCTATGTCTCTGTCTGTCTGTCTGGTGAGCGCACACGCCCTATAGCAAAAACCTCTCCAAAAAAAAAAAAAAGTAGAAATAATAAGCAAAAGGACCAGCAAATAAAGAACCAGAAAACAGAAAAAAAAAAGCAGGAGGAAACCAGACAGGTGAGAGGCAGAGATGAGGAAGAGGGAGCAGGGAGAACAGCAGAAGGCAGGAAACGAACAGGTGAAAGAAAGCAATACTCACCAAAGAGACAGGAGGAGGTGCCGGGAGGAAGAGCTTTCCTCACCAGCATATTTTGTTTCAGAAAAGCAGCAAACTGTGCTAAAATGAATCAGAAAGAATTACAGAATCACAGCCAGCCACAGAAAGGAGAAACAGAGAGTAAGAAAAAGATGAAAAAAAGTTTGAGAAAATGACCATCGGGGTCATGAAGTTACGACATAGCTTTGAACCTGACTCTGCCCTGCAGCAGCTCCATGGAATCACCTGCAAACTCAGACATGGAGCTGAGTGGCCTGGCTCTTTCCTTGCCTCCCACTTTTAACTGTCCACTTGAACTTCTGCTTCTTGTCAGCACCACTCTTACATCTTAAGAGCAGCCTCACAGGAGGCCTAGGTTTAAGTTCTGACTGTTTGGTTCCACTAAGAAAGACACAGGGGAAGCGGGCAGACATCCTTCTATTCCTGTGGTCTCTCAGAGCTGGTTTCCTGTACCTCTTCTAACACTTCCATTCCCGAGAACCTCAGAGGATACATCAGCAAACACTGATGCCCCAGAGACCTTTCCTCAAGGCTGTCCCAATGGATCAAAGTGAAGACAGCAGGCACAGCTGCCATTTCTTTTTTCCTATCCACTTCCTTTTCTACAGCTCCTTACGTAGCTGAGTTCTCCAAACTCTAATTTCAACCATACAAATATTTCCCAGTGTTATCTAAAACCTATCTGCAGACTCCTAACAGACTTTGCCAAAAGTCCCAGTGTAGAAATTTTAACCCTTCAAGGGCACGACACCAGCAGGGATGTCCTAGGATCTGACGCACAGAATCAATCGCCCTGTACACATGACCCGGGAGTTCCCTGACTGCAGGAGTGGCTGACAGGGCTCACTGCCCATGACACCAAGACAAAGCTGTAACCAGGGACCACAAAGTGCCACTAAAGCGTAGTCCTCGGTACCTGTTCTGACCTAATTTTGCCTGGACAGAAATGTGGGATAGGGTGTAGGCGTCAGCATTTTCCCCCTGCCCTGTGACGCCAAGTGCAGGCGCAGAACCACGGAGAAGCCACTGGGCCAGGGGCCTGTACCTTGGGCTTGTTTGTGGGTCAGCACAGCTTCTGTCCGCTGCATGTGTCTCTTGAGCAGCTGAGAGCTCCCAATCTGACTGCACTTCTGGGCAGAGGTCACTGTGGTCACTTTGGTCTTGGGACTGGAAGTGGGGCTGCTGGACACACTAGAAAGATCCTGGGTAGAAGGCCAAGAGAGGAGCCGCTGTTGTTTGGGTTCAACCATCAGTCAGCGTGTCCCCGTGGAACTCTCATATGCCTCAAAGGAACTCTCAGGCCTACACTGACCAGGTAGAGAGCTAAGGACCAGCCTTGTAGTCCCGACTCCCCAGCCAAGTGTGACTAACCCCACTTCCTGTTTGCACTACCTCCGAGCCCGAGGGGGAGGCGGGCAGCTTGGCGGCTGGAGAGGCAGGTCGACTGCCCCGCTCGGGGACTTCAAATGCCAGGTCTCTGCGGGCTACATCACGAGGCTTCTTTTTCTTCTCAGCGTCCTGATCCCGAGGCTCAGAGCCCATGTGACCATCGGCACGAGTGAGCACTCCGGTGAGAAAGTCCACAATCTCATCCTAGTAAGAAGAGGAGCCAGAGCCCATTAGTCCTTGTCTGGAGAACAGGAAACCCCCAAGTGGATCCAAACTAGAATCAATTCTACCTCAGCTCTAGCATCCAGGCATGCCAGTCCTTCCTACTCACATGAGCACAAAGCCCAGGCTCCTGAGCAGCTATGGTTCAAGAAGACCAGCAGGTGCTTCTAGGAGAGGCTGGGATGGTCACAACCCACCAGTCCCCCAGAAGGTTCTTTCTCTTGGGTGTTTTGCTCACATCTTAGTTCACCACACTCCTCTTTTCTCCTCTTTGCTAACTGGTTAGGCCCACTGGAGGCTTCAGTGGGTCCCCCACATCCTTGAAAGCCAAAAAGGCTGCTGCCTACAGGCCAAACCTAAAGGGCCATATAAAAGCAAAAACACATTTAACAACTGTTTACCTGAATACATCTGTCCACCATGCTCTGAGTCAACCCTTCGGATTTCTTCTTTGCTTTGCTTATTCTAAGAGACAAAAAAGAAAAAAAATGTTTACTTTTTAAAAATAATATGGCCAGGAGCCGGCAGGTGGCATGGTGGTTAAGGGCGCTGGACTCTCACATGGCTGTCCATGGTTCAAGTCCTGGACCTGGTGGCTTGCTTTCTCACTTTCTCTCTCTCTCATTCTGTCCCTTTCTGATCAAATTAAAATAAGTAAAATTAAAATAAAGTTAAATAAAACAATTCTTTTTTTTTTTTTAGAGGCTTTTATTATAGGGCGCATGCACTCACCAGACAGAGAGAGACAGAGAGATAGAAAGCGAGAAATCACTCCCCAGAAGGGATGGCCACACCGCAATCCCTTCTCCTCCATTCTCCTCTAGGGATCTTGGGCATGCACGCACACACACCCGGCGTGAGTGACAGAGAGAGACACATAGAGACAGAAAGCGAGGAATCACCCCCAGGGGGGATGGTCACACCACAATCCCTTCTTCTCCATTCTCCTCTCGGATCTTGGGCACGCACGCACATGCGCCCGGCGTGAGTACTAAGCCACCGGGTCCGGGACACAAACCGCGGTCGACTATGTGGGAGTCCAGCAACATAGCCATTACGCTAACTGCTGGTTCCCCCCAATAATTCTTTAAAAAATAAAAAGATAGTATGGTGGGACCAGCAGGTAGCAAGGTGGTTAAGGCACTGGACATTCCAATATGGCCAATCATGTTTCAAGTCCTGGACCTGGTGACTTGCTTTCTCACCCCCCACTCCCTGGCCAAATTAAAATAAACGAATGAATAAATAAAATTATTTAAAAATATAGCATGGCATCATGGGAACAGCAGATGGCATAATGGCTACGTTGCTGGCCTCCCACAGTCGACTGCAGTTGAATCCCAGACCCAGCAGCTTAAAACTCACGCTGGGCACGTGTATGTGAGTGCCCAAAATCCTGAGAGGAGAATGGAAAAGTGACTGCAGTGTGGCCACCCCCCCGAAGTGGTGATTTTCACATTCTGTCTGTCTGTCCCTCACTTTCTGTGGCAAGCACACACACTTTTTTTTGGGGGGGGGAAGAAGTTTTTGTTACAGGGTGCGTGCACTCGCCGGAGAGAGACAGAAAACGAGAAATCACCCCCCAGGGGGATTGGCCACACTGCAATCCCTTCTCCTCCATTCTCCTCTCGGGATCTTGGGCACGCTGCACACGACACACACACTCTCTTAAAAAAATTAAAGTATGGCATCCTATAGAATAAGAACAAAGTTCTCTTCTGTGTTGGTTATTTCCTAGGTCCAGGAAGGAGGACTGTTAACCCCGGGCAGGTAATTCAACCTCTCTGAATCTGTCCCAGAGAACGCCTAACACCTCGTCCATGGAGCTGTAAATGATGACATGTAAAGAATGGGAACCAGCAGTTAGCGTAGTGGCTATGTCGTTGGACTCCCACGTAGTCGACCACGGTTCGTGTCCCGGACCCGGTGGCTTAAAACTCGCGCCGGGCGCGTGTGCATGCGTGCCCAAGATCCCGAGAGGAGAATGGAGGAGAAGGGATTGCGGCGTGACCATCCCCCCTGGGGGGTGATTTCTCGCTTTCTGTCTTTATGTCTCTCTCTGGCTGGCGAGCGCACGCGCCCTACAGTGAAAATCTCTCCAAAAAAAAAAAAAAAAAGAACCAAGCAAGCTGCCCAAGCCTGTCTATTCCAGAAGTCCCCGACCTATGGCTTAACAGATAAACTCTGACCAGAAGGCTAAGGTGTCACCTTGGCCCCAAAGCGGCCCCAAACCCTGAGAGTACAGGGTGCTGCCGAACTGGACCAGGAGGAGGGAGAAAAGGAGGTCATGGGCCAGCTCTATAGGAATAGAAAAACAAGCACAGCCAGCTGCAGTTGCCCCTTTGAAAGCCAGCCTTAAAGCCCATGGCTTCCATCTGTGGTTCCTGGAAAAACACGAAATGGGGTACCAAGTGACAGAGAACATCATCATGAGCCTCCAAAGTGACATCCCGATTCGTGGCTGATGTCCTCGGCTTGTGTAACGCTCTCGTTTCACAGTTGAGAACAGTGATAGCAAAGGACCAGACTAACAGGGCTCTCTGTTCTCATTCCTGAGCTCTTGGCACCGTGCAAGTCTCCTAAGCTGTCTCACAGGATACCTCCGCACAGCAGCTTCTCATCTCTCCCCACTCCTCGCAGCAACTCCACACACACCATCTCGTCTCCTGTGGATGGGGTGTCTCAATCACCAAAGAAACAATGTTATTTACCTGAAAACACCACCTGGAGCATCGAAAGGCCAGACACTAAATTCCCAAGAAGCTGACAAATGACAAAGTTCAGAAGAACTTCTCCAAAACATCTGAGTAGGAAACTGGAAAGATAGCTATGAGTGTGTACTTGCTTAAAGCTCTCTAGTTAAAACAAAATTCATCTCCACTTCGGTGCATATAGGGGGGTGGGGAGACGGTACAGCAGTGCTGCAGGCAGGCCCATGTGAGAGAGGGTCGGGGTCTGCACCTCGGGACTTCCCTAAGCAGGCCAGGTACATGCATACCTGCAATCTGTCTCTCTCATAGAAGAAATAAACTTAAAAAATAAATATATATATCATATAAATTAAAATAAATAAAAAGGAGGTCAGGTAAATAACAGATCTCTTTTTCAGTACATTTCACAAGAACATAAATTAAAAGCCTTACATGCTCCAGCTTTGTAACGGAAGAGCAGCTGTCTCAACAACCAGTCACTTTCCTAAAACTCAGTCCAAACTCTGGCTGTGTTTATACTCCAAAATGTATCAAGGGTGTTTCATACAAATAGCGTCTACATTCACAGTCATCCTCCAAGAGGAACACTTTTTTAAAAAATGCCTACCCTAGTGAAAGCATGATGACAAAGAGTACATTTACAGACCACAAAGTATTTTCTCCCTGCAAGGTAACTACTAATTGCAAAGGCAGTGACTTCACAGTGGAGCGCCCAGCAGAAGCTGCCTTAACCACATGTTCAAGGATGTCATCAGCAGTGAGGACAAATCAACATTATGTATCATGCACTGATGAGAGGGGCAGATCACTTCTGTGGCATTCTTTCCAAAAATGTAGACCCAATATAATCTTAAGACAATGCCAAAAATCTAAATGAGGAACAGTCTACAAAATAAGTTACCAATAGTCTTTTTGCTGTTGTTAAAGAATTATTTTATTTAACTTTATTTATTTATTTATTTAAATTCGACCAGAGAGGGACAGAGCCAGAAGAAAAGCGAGAAAGCAAGCCACCAGGTCCAGGACTGGAACAGCAGTTGGCCATATGCAAATATAGTGCCCCTAACCACCATGCCACCCACTGGCCCCAGTTACCAGTAGTCCTTAAAAATGTCAAGGTGGCCCAGGTGTGGTGCTGCAACTCATGGGGCACTGCTGCACACGTCTAGAGCCACGTGGAGGCCTGGTTCAGTTCTCAGTGCCCAAATCTAAACAGCCTGGCACAATGAGATGCACCTCCTAGCTGGCTGGGAGGCTGGGGCAGAAAGGTCCTAGCTAATGAGACCCTGTCAAGAATGCCTATCCACCTCCACCCATTTAAAAACAAAAACACAGGGCCAGTCTGCAGCGTGGTGGTTAAGGTAGCTGGATCCCACATGGCCCACAGTGCAGTTTGAGTCCCAGACCCAGTGGCTTGAGAAACATGCCAGCCGCATTTGCATGTGCAAAAAAATCCTAAAAGGGAGAAACGGAGAAAGGATTAAGCAATGACTGTCCCTGATTGAGGAGGGGAGGGTATTTTCTTGCTCGCTCTGGCAAGCAAACCCACACTGATTCAAAAAAAAAAGAACAATGAAGAACCGTATCAAATTAAAGAAGACTGAAGAAACATAGAAGCTAAATCCAATGCATGTGCCTGAACTGAATCCTGAACCAGAAAAAGGACATTAAGGAGACAACTGATAAAAATCTATCCATTAATTTCCTGATTTTGAAAATTATATTTTGACATGTAAGCTATCAACATTTGGAAAATAAAAGTGAATGGTATATGGGAATCTTTTGTATAAAAAGTTTTGCAACTTGTTATTAATCTAAATTAGAAATGTAAAAAAAAATAATTTTCTTTAAAGATTTATTTTATTTTATTTATCATTACTGTTATTTTAAATTTGACTACAGCAAGACACAGAGAGAGAGAGAGAGAGAGAGAGAGAGAGAGAGAGAGAGAGCGTGCGTGCACAAGCTGCCAGGTCTGGGACCCAGACCACTGTCAGACATGTGGAGTCTAGTACCTTTAACCACCATGCCACCTGCCAGCCCCCCTTTAAAAAAGAAATTTTTTAAATGGCCACTTTTAACTGAACCAGATTAGCCTCCAGTTATATCGCCCCCACATTGGGGGAATCTCTCTAACACTTTACCAGGCTCTCTCACGGCTCTAGGGAACCTACCCACCTGAGGTTATCATCAGCACCCCCAACCACCACCAAGCTGTTCTCAGCCCGAATCTTCTCCCGGAAGTCCTCCATGGCTTCAGGGTGACACTGCAGGGAATTCTGACCAATGACAAAGAGGACTGGAGTCTTCATATCCAAGAGGGGGTCATCCACGTCCTACAATGGGAGCAGGTTTCGGAGTCAGCCAGTCCCTACCATGAAGCACTGACCTGGACTCCCCGCTCTGGAGAGCAGCTGTGCAAGTTAGCCTGCCCCACCCCAGTCTGGCCAAGGCACGTGCTCCCACTGCCAAAGACCCAGCCCTTACGCTTACCCCTCTGGGACCATCCACAGTAAGCAGAGGGAACCCCAGGCAGACGACTGCAGTGACGTACTCCATCACCGATACCTGTAACCAACAGCACGACTGATCCACAGGCCCGCCGACTCACTGGCCTGTTTACCCCGAATCCATGAGCTGGGCAGGCCCGGCCTCACCCCAGGTCCATCAGTGCGGCAGCAGCACTGAGCACAGAACCCCAGGTGTGCCGCTCTACAGCAGCCACTACCAGGAGAACGGGGGCCCGAAGGGGGCCCGGCAGATGGCTGAACCACAGGATCAGTGATTTAATACTTCAAGCCTCTCAGACCAAAAAAACCTAGACTTGAGCTCTTCCGGTCCACTTTTCTCCATTAATAATAAATAAAATCAAGAAGATACAAATGCTGCCCTTTCCTCTTAAGTGAAGAAAATCCCTCCCTACTGAACATAACAAACAGTGGGTCGACATCCTCGATGTCTTGGTGTAGCTGAGGAGCTCCATCGCCCCTGGGAGCAGAGCGCGCTGGGAGATGGCCTTCTTTTCTCATGGCCCTCGATGATGTCATACTCAACCAGACCAGAGAAAGCAGAAGAATCAGGACTTGGACATATCAGGGACGCTTAGGCCAACTGACAGGCATACAAATGTACATGAAATAATAAAGAATAGGTTTCACGATGTTTTGGAAAGGGATTGAACATACACAAAACATCAAATTCCAGAGCTATTAATTTTTGCCTGATAGAATTATTATTAATTTTTAGGTGGGGGAAATAGTATTATGCTTCTTTTCAGAGGAAAAAAGGAATTGTTTTTGAGATACACACTAAAGTATATATAAATCAAATGATATGAGATTTCAGATATTCTTCAAACATCACCTGAGGGAGAGAGAAGGGAGGCAGGAACACGAAGAAGCAAGCCTGGCTGGGACATGAGCACTATGTTAGGAAGTCCAAGGCGCTTACTGTACTAAACTATTCTTGTTTTTGTTTCTGCTTAAACTTTTCTAGAATGAGGTTAAAAATTAAAGGTTGGGGACCAGTAGATAGCATAATGGCTATACCACTGGACTCCCATGTAGTCAGCCACAGTGTGAGTCCTGGACCCAGAGCGTAAACTTCACCCCAGGCACATGTGCATGTGTGCCCAAGATCCCGAGAGGAGAATGGAGGAGAAGGGATTGTGGCGTGGCCATCCCCACTGGGCGGTGATTTATTACTTCCTGTTTCTCTGTCTCTCTGGCAAGCGCACACGCCCTACAACAAAAATCACTCTCACTCAAGAAATTAAATTAAATTAAATTAAATAAAGTCTTCTACGATTTACAATACAATTAAGTGCCAGCTAGTGGTGTGGCGGTTAAAGCGCTGGATTCCACATGGCCAAACGCACAGTTCAAGTCCCAGACCTGTAGCTTAAAAAACACTGGGCACATGTGTTTGTGCCCAAAGTCCAGAAAAGAGAAAAAGGGGAAAATGGATTGTGGTGTGCCCATCTCCCATGGGTGGTGCTTTCTCACTTTCCCCTCTCTCTCACTCCAACAAGTGCACACACCCCCTAGCAAATCCATCCGTCATCCATCAATTAGTAAAATGCAATTAAGTAGGTAAAATATCCAGCATAGTGTCTGAGACATAGAAAAGCACTCAATCACAGCTATCAAGAGTGGCAGTACTCCACAGGTCAATTCCCAATTCCTTAGGCTTCCAAACAGGATGGAAATTACTCACGTGACAAGCCACCAAAGCTCCTGTGTTCCAGCCAATCAAGATAATGGGTTTGTGTGGGAAATGGCTGTGAATCTTTGTGGGAAGAGAAAGAAGACAATGAGAGAGGAGGTCACAGATGGGTGTAGAACAAGCTCAGCATGCTGGGTGTACATGTGAACCAAAACAGGGGCATCCTCACCTCCAGCACTTTGCTTCTCACTGCCCCGATCATATGCTCAAGGCACTGCAGGACTCCTACCCCACTGCCATTGTTCAGCAGATGGGTGGCTACAGGGATGACCTAAGGGAAAGAAATTGCATCTGTGTCAGCAGAGATAAGTTTCAAATCTTCTCTCAATTCTGCTTAACCTACCCTAGTCCCTTCACCCTTAGGTAGGCCCCATTCCAATTCCAAATAAGAATAAGGGACGCTCCACATTCAGCTCAACCATTTTGACACCCTCCTGCATTTCCTCCTCAGTCCTCCAAGACTACCTTCCCCACCAGAAGCATTCCTCTTGCCCTCATACATACCTTTCCTAAGCAAGAGAGCTGAGACTGCCAGAAGCGGTGGCGGCGTGAGGTGGGGAACACAGAGCTGGAGGGGCCAGAGGAGGCGATGAGAATCAGAGGAGAGCCAGGCAGTTTGCTCTAAGGAGAAAGAATTCCACTCAAGACCCAGTGAGTGAGAGGTATTCTATGAAATCCCACGTATCCAATCCCTTTCTTGCGAATTTTTGCTTATGAAACCAGGTTAAGTACTATACAAAACAAGCTACTAATGAGCCATTTATAGTCCTCTTGCCAAGGTTCTGAGGCTTGAGTCTGAAAATCCCACGTGCCACAGTTCAGTCATCCAACTTACTGGCTTGTTATGAGAAAGCACCCCTACAGCAGGGTCCCAGGGCCTCTTCAGTAGGAGAGACAAGGCCTCAGCTCCTGCAGCCCCGGTCTTCGTGTTGGATGACACAAGCATGCGGTCAATCAAGGTCGGAATCTGGGAAGAAGGGAGAGTAGAAACAGTTCCAGTGTGAAGCCAGAGACCTTCCCACTGTCAGCAATCAGGCAGATGAGAGGTCTCCACTACAAGCTTAGAGGACTTTAGTGAAACCCCTCAAACCTTCCTGGGATACAGTCCTTTAGAAAGCAATCTAGTGATATGCATCAAGAGACTGAAATTTATTCCAAGCCCTTTTCCAAATGACTTACTTCTCAGAACCTTCCCTAAGAAAATATAATCACACACACACACACACACGGAGTTCCAGAGACAAATTCACTGTCAATAATAATCAAAAAGAAGAAACAATCCAGGGACCAGCAGTTAGCGTAATGGCTATGTCGCTGGACTCCCATGTTCTTGACCGCAGTTTGAGTTCCGGACCAGGTGGCTTAAACTCAGGTCAGGCGCGTGTGCCCAAGATCCCGAGAGGAGAATGGAGGAGAAGGGACTGCAGCATGGCCATCCCCCCCTGGGGGTGATTTCTCGCTTTCTATCTCTCTGTCTCTCTGTCTTTCTGGCGAGCGCACACACCCTATAGCAAAAACCTCTCAAAAAAAGATCTACATGCATACATAAGGGAAGGGGGGCTAAGCCAAGCAATCTGTAGATATTACAGATTACTTTCCAATATTTATTATAAGCATTTGTAATAATTATACAAAGATACTCTCACTAAAATGTTACATGTAAAGCAGAAAATATAAACAACTTCCCAAAGGCTATTAAGAAAATATACCAAAATGTTAATAATCTCTTTGAAGTTACCTTTTCCTTCATAAAGTTCTGTATTTTCTGAATTTCCTCAAATGAGCAGCAATTATTTTATAATTAAAAAAAAAATCTACATTTCTTCTAGAGTATTACCTTCAAGCTATCGCATGTTAAAGAAACTCTGTCCAAAAAACCCGGACCCTACTAAATTGTGTATACTATAATTTATATCATATCCTGTTTTTTACCATCCACCAAAATGTGACCTCACAGATGCATAAATATAGGTTGAGCACATGCTGATCTTACAATGAGAAGAAATAGCTACACGAATACATGCTACCCATGAAAGGTCAAAGTGACCTAAGGGAAAGGAGATTTTCAAATGTTAGAGGTAGTTTTCAGAAAAACAAAGTTTTTGGGAACTTAGGGAATAAAAACTACTATAAGAGGCAGCCAGAAATAGGTTGGTGAGGAGGCCGGACCCCACACGGGTGACTAGACGCTAAGAGGCCCAGACCCAGCAGCCTGAAATGCTCCTAAGAGGAAAACAGAGAAGGGAGTGCAGCACAGCCATCCCCTCTGGGCAGTGCTTTCTCACGTTCCCTTGCTCCCTCTCTTTCTGGCAAGTGCATACACCCTACAGCAAAATTTAAAAAATAGAAAAGGGCTGTGTTAGGGTCTGCTTGGTGGCAGAGCACCAACATGCTGCTCAAACAAAGCTGATCCACATGGAAGGTCACAGATGAGGGACTTTAAACACCAGGCACACGTGCCCAAGACCTTGGATAGCTGGAAAGGTCGGGCAGAGAGGACCATGGCATGAGACCCTGTTGAGGTTATGCCTCCCCGACACTCATGAAAGAAAGAAAATTTAAAAAAAATAAATAAATAAAAAGGTTTTTTGCATAGTTTGATACAGGCTGTAAAAATCTAAAAGCAGCAGGGGAAGATATAGAGTTCTTAATGCAGAGCAATTATAAAGATTTATAAGAAATTAGGGGATGAAGGGCTGGCAGGTGGTGTGGTGGTTAAAGGTATTGGACTCCCACATGGCCAACTGGGTTTGAGTCCCAGACCTGGGAGCTTGGTTTCTCACTTTCCCTTTCTCTCTGTCTCACTCTGAAGGCCTCAGCTCCTGCAGCCCCGGTCTTCGTGTTGGATGACACAAGCATGCGGTCAATCAAGGTCGGAATCTGGGAAGAAGGGAGAGTAGAAACAGTTCCAGTGTGAAGCCAGAGACCTTCCCACTGTCAGCAATCAGGCAGATGAGAGGTCTCCACTACAAGCTTAGAGGACTTTAGTGAAACCCCTCAAACCTTCCTGGGATACAGTCCTTTAGAAAGCAATCTAGTGATATGCATCAAGAGACTGAAATTTATTCCAAGCCCTTTTCCAAATGACTTACTTCTCAGAACCTTCCCTAAGAAAATATAATCACACACACACACACACGGAGTTCCAGAGACAAATTCACTGTCAATAATAATCAAAAAGAAGAAACAATCCAGGGACCAGCAGTTAGCGTAATGGCTATGTCGCTGGACTCCCATGTTCTTGACCGCAGTTTGAGTTCCGGACCAGGTGGCTTAAACTCAGGTCAGGCGCGTGTGCCCAAGATCCCGAGAGGAGAATGGAGGAGAAGGGACTGCAGCATGGCCATCCCCCCCTGGGGGTGATTTCTCGCTTTCTATCTCTCTGTCTCTCTGTCTTTCTGGCGAGCGCACACACCCTATAGCAAAAACCTCTCAAAAAAAGATCTACATGCATACATAAGGGAAGGGGGGCTAAGCCAAGCAATCTGTAGATATTACAGATTACTTTCCAATATTTATTATAAGCATTTGTAATAATTATACAAAGATACTCTCACTAAAATGTTACATGTAAAGCAGAAAATATAAACAACTTCCCAAAGGCTATTAAGAAAATATACCAAAATGTTAATAATCTCTTTGAAGTTACCTTTTCCTTCATAAAGTTCTGTATTTTCTGAATTTCCTCAAATGAGCAGCAATTATTTTATAATTAAAAAAAAAATCTACATTTCTTCTAGAGTATTACCTTCAAGCTATCGCATGTTAAAGAAACTCTGTCCAAAAAACCCGGACCCTACTAAATTGTGTATACTATAATTTATATCATATCCTGTTTTTTACCATCCACCAAAATGTGACCTCACAGATGCATAAATATAGGTTGAGCACATGCTGATCTTACAATGAGAAGAAATAGCTACACGAATACATGCTACCCATGAAAGGTCAAAGTGACCTAAGGGAAAGGAGATTTTCAAATGTTAGAGGTAGTTTTCAGAAAAACAAAGTTTTTGGGAACTTAGGGAATAAAAACTACTATAAGAGGCAGCCAGAAATAGGTTGGTGAGGAGGCCGGACCCCACACGGGTGACTAGACGCTAAGAGGCCCAGACCCAGCAGCCTGAAATGCTCCTAAGAGGAAAACAGAGAAGGGAGTGCAGCACAGCCATCCCCTCTGGGCAGTGCTTTCTCACGTTCCCTTGCTCCCTCTCTTTCTGGCAAGTGCATACACCCTACAGCAAAATTTAAAAAATAGAAAAGGGCTGTGTTAGGGTCTGCTTGGTGGCAGAGCACCAACATGCTGCTCAAACAAAGCTGATCCACATGGAAGGTCACAGATGAGGGACTTTAAACACCAGGCACACGTGCCCAAGACCTTGGATAGCTGGAAAGGTCGGGCAGAGAGGACCATGGCATGAGACCCTGTTGAGGTTATGCCTCCCCGACACTCATGAAAGAAAGAAAATTTAAAAAAAATAAATAAATAAAAAGGTTTTTTGCATAGTTTGATACAGGCTGTAAAAATCTAAAAGCAGCAGGGGAAGATATAGAGTTCTTAATGCAGAGCAATTATAAAGATTTATAAGAAATTAGGGGATGAAGGGCTGGCAGGTGGTGTGGTGGTTAAAGGTATTGGACTCCCACATGGCCAACTGGGTTTGAGTCCCAGACCTGGGAGCTTGGTTTCTCACTTTCCCTTTCTCTCTGTCTCACTCTGTACCTCTCTGGTCAAATTAAAATAAATGAATAAAATAAATAAAGTCAAGTAAAATATATATATATTTTGCTATAGGGTACGTGTGCTTGCCAGAGACAGAACGTGAGAAACCACCCCCCAGCGAGGATGGCCGTGTCGCAATCCCTTCTCCTCCATTCTCCTCTTGGGATCTTGGGCACTCACGCACACGCGCCCAGCGTGAGTTTAAGCCACAGGGTCCAAGACTCAAACTGTGGTCGGCTACATGGGAGTCCAGTGACATAGCCATTACACCAACTGCTGGTCCCAAATAAAATAATTCTTAAAAAAAGAAAAGAAAAGAAATTAGGGGATGGGCCAGCAGGAGGTGTGGTGGTTAAGGTAGCTGGATCCCACATGGCTAAGTCCCAGACGAGAAATCCCAGGCACCAGGGCCAGTAGGTGGTATGGTGTTTGAGGCACTGGACTCCCATGTGGCCAACTGTAGTTCAAGTCCCAGATCTGGCAACTTGCCTTCTCACCCCCCACTGCCCGCACTGCCATGAACACATGTTTCTTCAACAAATTAAAATAATAATAAACAAAAATAAAAAACATGCCAGGTACATGTGTGCCCAAAATCCTATACAAAGGGATCGCAGCATGGCCATCCACCCAAGGGATGACTTCTCTCTCTCTCTCTGGCAAGTGCACACACAATGGGGAAAAGAAAAAAAAAGAAGAAATTAAGGGATTACAGTCATGAAACTTTCTCAGTTTAACTCAAGAAATGAATGTTTATTTTCAGTTGCCAGAGGGTGCTTATGCTCTCCAGAGATGGAGAGACACAAAGAGAGAGAAGGAGAGAGACAGAGAGACAAACTATTCCCAATGGAGCATGGTCATGCTGACACCCCTTCTCCATTTCTCTAAGGGAATCCCTGGGGCCAGGACTCGAACTGCACAGTTGGCCATGTGGGATCCATCTCCCTGAACCACTAGGGCATGGGGCCAGTCCAAGAAACAAATAACCGACAGCTATAGTTATAAGGCACCAGGGTAGTACTACGGAGGAATTTAATCTACAAGGGGGTAAAGAATACACAAATACACAACAAACAAGTTGGGAAGACTGGTTAACTGCCATAAAAGAAAAGGAAGCCCCACACTGCTATGACTCCAACCATCTGACAGGAAAGGGGGGAGGTAACAGGCAATCTTCACCTGAAGACTGCAGCATGTGACCTGAGACTCTTTAGAACAGGCAGGAGTCCAACCGAAGGAGAAAAAAGTTTTCCAATCAGACACCCCAGTGTCAGAGGAAGAATATGTGGGGCTTGCTCCAGGCAGAGCAGGAGAAGACGAGTAAGGAAGGAGGCGGATGTAAGGCTAGTAACAAAGGCTATGGCCAAGCAGCAAAGGAGCTTCACTCCAAACTAGTCACTCTCTGAAGCTACTGTCACTGTGAGTCACACAACACTCGGAAGCAGAGCATCTGTTCTGACTGAAAAGCTTTTACCTGTCAGAGAACACCTACAAAACCCAAAAACCTTGGCACCTGCTTTCTGTTAACATAGAATAATCAACAACTGACTTCTCCACTTGCAGCTGGCAAGGCACAGCTTCCCTGATCTTTCTAGCACTGCATTCACTCTCAACGGCCAAGTAAGAGGCTAGGATCTGTACCTTCTCCCCTTCTTCACAATGACGCCAAAGGTGAAAGTAGCAGGACCAAGGACATGATTCCATCCACCTGAATCTTAACATCTAGCAGGCACTTTAAAATCCAGGGCCAGCAGGTGGCATGGTAGTTAAGGCACTGGACTCCCACATGGCTAACCACAGTTCGAGGCCGAGATCTGGTGGCTTGAAAATCATGCCAGGCATATGTGCATGAGTTTCCAAAATCTCAAGAGGAGAATGGAGAAGAAGGGACTGCAGCGTGGTCACCCCTAGAGGGTGCTTTCTTACTTTCTCTCTCTCTGTCTCTCTCCAGTGAGTGCATGGACCTATGGCAAAAACATACATACATACATACATACATACATACTCATCCTGGGCCTCCCTGTAATGTAACAGTTAAGTCCTACCCACAGGGAGCTGGATCCCAATGGCCAACCACAGTTCAAATCCCAGCCCCTACAGCCTGAAATACATGCCTGGGAGTGTGCATGTGTGTGTCCCAAATCCTGGTAGGTCAGACAAATGGAGAAAAAAGGATTGCAGCATGACTATGCCCAACTGGGAGTGGGGGAGACTGTATGTGCATTCTCTCTCCCTTTCTCTCTCTGGTAAGTGTACATCTTTTCTTTTTTAAAAAGAGGAGGTAGCAGGTGGCATGGTGGTTAAAGATGCTGTATTTTCACGTAGCTAACTGCAGTTCAAGTCCTGGACTTGGCAGCTTGCTCTCTTGCTTTCCCTTTCTGTCTCTATCTGCTCAAATTAATAATAATAATAACAACAAATGAAATTAAATAAATAAATATTTTAAAAAACAAAAAACAAAGAAAGGGGGCTGGCAAGTGATGTGGTAGTTAAGGGCGCTAGACTCCCACCTGGCTGACCATGGTTCAAGTCCCAGATTTGTTTTTTGTTTGTTTTTGTTTTTGTTTTTGTTTTTTTGTTTTTTTTTGGAGAGATTTTCACTGTAGGGCGCGTGCGCTCGCCAGACAGACAGAGAGAGAGACATAGAGACAGAAAGCGAGAAATCACCCCCCAGGGGGGATGGTCACGCTGCAATCCCTTCTCCTCCATTCTCCTCTCGGGATCTTGGGCACGCACGCACACGCGCCCGGCGTGAGTTTTTAAGCCACCGGGTCCGGGACACGAACCGCGGTCGACTATGTGGGAGTCCAGCGACATAGCCATTACGCTAACTGCTGGTTCCCTCAAGTCCCAGATTTGGAGGCTTGCTTTTTCACTTTCCCTCTGACCCTCTCCAGTAAAATTTAAACAAATAAATAAATACGGTAAGATCAAAGAAAAGAGACAGCACCCCCAGTTTGAGGTCTTTGCTGATGGGGGCACTAGTGAGTCTTCTGTCAATACAGCCAGTTCCACTATAACCCATCGGCATGACAAGGGCACCTACCTCTGCACGCCGAGGGGGGTTGTCCCTCTACTAGCCTGCCATGGTTACCTCGTTTGCCACCTCATTCACACAGGGCACATTTAGTCAGAAGGCAAAATGGGGACACAGTGCAAACTTTCTTACAAGGGAAATTACATCCAAGTCATCTGGCCGTGGCGAAGTGAGGCACGGCAACTGAGGAACTGGGACTTGGGCACTAGCATACGCACCCTGTGGAGCTGACTCACCAATGCTTCCACCATGGAGAGAAGGCTGTGGAGAACAGAACTGAAAACGTGTAGACACTCACGTGCTGCCTTCCTCCGCCAGTCCCTCCAGTCATGGTCCCACACCCAGCTCGATGCCTGCCCATCACCCACCTCCCTGGCCCAGGTTTTTACTGCAAGGGCAGTGGCAGTTCAAGGGCAAGTCTGGGACTCTCTTCATTTGTCTCTTTCTCCACTAGAAAATAAGCTCCACTAGAGAAGGAAGCACTTCTGTTTTGCTCACCCCAGTGTCTGGCACATTGAAGGCACAAAATAAATACTAGCTGAATGAAAAAATTAAGGTCAAATTTCCTACCATGCATATTATTGAGGTATTTAGTCCTGAGTTTTGTTTTATTTTTATCACTAAACCAGTGTTTTTTCCTTTCTAACAAACTCAGCATTCTTCAACTTTAAAACACGTAAGGAACAATGAGTCCAAAAGTTCTGAGAATACGGCTGGGGAAAGCTGTCAGCCAGGCGACTTACAGCAGTAAGATGGGCCAGCTTACTGAATTAACTAATTTAACTTTCATAAAAATCTTAGGGAAGTGTTATTGCTAGCCCCATTTTAGAGATGAGGAAACTGAGACACTAGTCACAAAGACTAAACTCTGCCTACAAAGAGCTGAGATCAGCCAGCCAGTCTGCCACCAGAACCCACATCCGGCCACACTCAGTACAGCACGATGTAGCCAGGTGATCATAAACTGGAATTGCCAAGGACAACAGCTTAACTATGCAACACTAAGGAAGCAGAGAAGTGCAATGATTCGCCTGTAACGACTACAAGCCACCCTGTGACGAGGAGAGACCAAGGCATCAGGAGCTTCTCTGTTCTGGGTGCCAAGGGTCAGCTCCTTACACCTTTCTCAACAATCCTCCCGGGCAAACCCTCCAGAACTCAATTCAGCGATGACTCAAACCACAAGCTGCAAAGCTAGAGGCTAAATGTGTACTCTGGTTTCCTGGCCCCCACCTCATTCTGGAGAGAGCAGGGCTGAAGATGTCTGCACCAGGGAACCAGCAGTTAGCGTAATAGCTATGTCACTGGACTCCCACGTAGTCGACCGTGGTTCGCGTGCCAGACCTGGTAGCTTAAAACTCATGCCGGGCGCATGTGCGTACGTGCCCAAGATCCCGAGAGGAGAATGGAGGAGAAGGGATTGCGGCGTGACCATCCCCCCTGAGGTGTGATTTCTCGCTTTCTGTCTCTCTGTCTCTGTCTGTCTGGCGAGCGCATGCACCCTTATAGCGAAAATCTCTCCAAAAAAAAGATGTCTGCACCAGATGCAAACGTGAAATGATATCTTGTCTCCCACTTTTCACAGCAAACACATTAGCTTGGTCCATGGTCTCTAAGCTGACCAGGTAATGACCCTGTCCAGCCTATATCCTGAACCCACAGCAGACGCTGGCTACCATGAGAAGAGGGCAGATGCCAATCATAACCTTACCTTCCCTTTCAGCGTCTGCAAGGCATCGAGGTAGGCTGCCAGCATGGGCAGACTCAAGGTCTCCACGAGGGTGGTGTGCAGCCACTGGATCAGCTTGGTGTCCCAGCTCACGCTTGCGAGAGCCTGCCGCACTCTCCTCGCACACTTGTCCACAGCAACGCGGCGCAGCACCGGCTCATTACAAGCCTGAAAGATTTAAGTGGAAGTGATAAAACAAGAGGACCACTTGGCCAGCAAGTGGGGGGGACAAGCCAGCCAGTCAGTGAGGCCTGACCTATAAGAGCCCACCATGGGCAGATTTCTGGCATCTTACCCCTTCATTGGCCAAGCGGGCAAGCCGGTCAGACTGCAGGGCTTTGAGGATCTTGTTGAATAGCTTGTTCTGGGCCATTGTCCAACCAGTCCTATAAGGGAAAGCCTGAGGAATTAAAGTCAAACCTTGGGACGCTCCCGTGTATGTATACCACAAAAGATTACGGTGTGTTTTTTGTTCCCATAACTCAACACAGCTCACTCTAAGACCACTGAGCTAACACACAAGGTCTACATCCTGGAACCAATCCTGTCAATGAGTCACCTCAGCACACATCTGTACTAAGAATATACACACTGCAAGTCAAGACTAGTCACAAATGCAGACAGTCAGTGTAAGCAAAGCTGATTATTTGCCAAGCAGTTAGCATGCTATTAGTAAACAGAAGCATGGCACCATGGCAGACATATTTGAATTTCCTAAGTTTTACATTTCACATAACACACAGAAGCAGCAAGCATTTTAACACACTAAAACCTAAGAGTAAGACAAGAGGTCTATTTTAACTAGCTTTAAAAACAAATACAAGGTTGGGAACCAGCAGTTAGCGTAATGGCTATGTCGCTGGACTCCCACGGAGTCAACCATGGTTCACGTCCCGGACCTGGTGGCTTAAAACTCACACCGGGCGCGTGTGCGTGCGTGCCCAAGATCCCGAGAGGGGAATGGAGGAGAAGGGATTGCGGCGTGACCATCCACCCTGGGGGGTGATTTCTCACTTTCTGTCTCTATGTGTCTCTCTGTCTGTCTGGCGAGCACATGTGCCCTATAGTGAAAAACCTCTCCCCCCCCAAAAAAAAACCAAAAACAAATACAAGGACCAGCAGATGGTATAGAGGTATGTGGCTGGACATCCAGTTGGCCGTGGTGTGAGTTCCGGACCCAGCGGCTTGGAACTCACACCAGATGTGTATGCGTGCATTCCCAAAATCCTGAGAGGAGAATGGAGGAGGGGATTGTGGTGTGGCCATGACCCGGAGGTGATTTCTCGCTTTTTGTCGCTCTGTCTCTCCAGTGGGCACACATGACCTATAGTAAAAAGTCTTTCTAAATAAATAAATTAATTAAAAAATATATATGGGGTTAGCAGGTGGCATGATAGCTGAGGAACTGGACTCCTGTGTGTCTGAGAGCGGACTCCCATATAGCTGACTGCAGTTCAAGTCCCAGACCTGGCAGCTTGCTTTCTCTTTCTCTGGTCAAATTGAAGACTAAAAACAAATCAAATTAAGTGAATAATTCTTTTTTAAAAATAGCAGAAATGTAACTGATGAAGTGGCTACTCTCCCACTCAATATTCCACCCCATGCTAATCTCTTTCCCATTTCATACATCTTTTTTATTTTTTCTGTATTTTGATTAACAAACTTACTTTTAAATGATCCATTCCACGTAAGTTAATTTTATGACCCCAGCATGTGACATGCCACCCACACGTCTGCCTTGCTTATGTCGTTCTCCATCTCAGCTGTGAGCGCTACAATCAGAAGGCCTCCTTACTGCTCTTACCCTCACTCATCACACCCAGCACCTGGCACAGAGATTAACGTCCCCTTCACTCTACTCACAGAAACCTTAACTACTCCGCTACGCGAACTCTCACTAGTAACCTTTCCTAGAGATAAGAGAAAGGCAATAGAAGTGCTCAGTATTTGTTGACCAACTCCCCCTCCAATTAAAAAAACAAAAACTGGGACCAGCAGTTACTGTAATGACTATGTCGCTGGACTCCCATGTAGTTGACCGCAGTTCGAGTCCCGGGCCCGGTGGCTTAAACTCACGCTGGGCGCGTGTGCGTGCATGCCCAAGATCCCAAGAGGAGAATGGAGGAGAAGGGACTGCAGCGTGGCCATCCCCCCTGGGGGGGAGAGATTTCTCACTTTCTGTCTCTCTGTCTCTCTTTCTGGTGAGTGCACGCATTCTATAGCAAAAACCTTCCCCCCGCTAAAAAAAAAATTTCAGGTACAATAAAAAGTCAAATATTGAAAAATAAAACTACAGGGCCAGAGGCCAACAGATGGCATAGCAATGACATCACTGGACTCCCACATGGCCAAATGCAGCTCAGGTCCTGGTGCCGGTGCCTTGAAAATCACGCCAGGTGCATGTACGACCGAGCCCAAGATACCAAGAGGAAAATGGAGGAGGGACTGTGGTGTGGCCATCCGCCCTGGGGAGCAATTTATCACTTTCCCTCTCACTGTCTCTGTCTCTCTCCACTGAGCACACATGCCCTAAGGTAAAGACCTCTAAAAAAGAAACAAACAACAACAACAAAATCTATAGGGCCAGCCCCATAATCTAGTAAAGGAAGCCGACCTCACATGGCTATATGCAATTCGAGTTACAGTCCTAGTGGCTTGAAAAATACACAGGCACATATACGTATTTGTATCTTGAAATGAGTAAGGCCTTTTTTGTTTGTTTGTTTAAGATTTTCGTCTTAGGGCATGTGCACTTACCAGAGAAAGATCAAAAGAGGGAAGGCACACTGCAATCCCTTTTCTTCTGTTCTCCTTTCAGGATTTTGGGCTCACACACACACATGCCCAGAGTGATTTTCAAGCTGCTGGGCCCAGGACTTGACCTGCAGTCGGCTCCATGGGAGCCCAGCACCTTAACTGCCACTTGTTGGCCCCAAGTAAGACATTTAAAAAAAATATGCCAGAGGACATTTGAGCTCACCAGGGAGAGACAGAAGCTAAAGAGATAAGGAGAGAGGGAAAGGGAGGAAGCACCTCTCGGTGGGAAATGGTCACATTATAATCTCTTCTTGCACTTCTCCCCTCTGTCAGGTTTTGGGGCACACAGGCACACATGCCTGATGTGTTTTTCAACCCACCAAGGCCAGGATTTGAGCCAGTCAGTTGGCCAAGTGGAACTGGCTTTACCTTTACCACCAGACCATGAAGCCAGCCCAAGTAAGGCATTTGTAAGGATAACTCAAAACCTGAAAGATATAAAAGAAAGTGAGATAAATGGAAATAATAATGTAACTACAAAAAATTTTCAAATTTTTATAAAAGAAAACAATATCATGAAGTCCGAAGAGAGGGTGATGGTGGCATAGCAATAACCCAACTGGACATAGGGTGTAAAGTCCTGGGTTTGCTGGGCATATACCCCTGATTTGGCCTGGAACTGTGGTGGGCCACAGTGTGAAGGCCCTGTTGGGGATGCTGTCACTCTTGACCTCCCTTGCTATCTTATGGAATAAAGAAACTTAAAGACAAAACAAAACAAACAAACAAACAAAAAACAAAAAGCCAACCTGGGACTGGCAGGTGGTGTGGTGGTTAAGGCGCTGGACTAACATACGGCCAACCGTATTCTGACTCCCAGATTTGGTAGCTTGCTTTCTCATTTCTCCTCTCTCTGTCTCTCTCATGTTCCCTGTAGCAAATTTAAATAATGATGATGATGATGATAAATAAAATTAAATAGATAATTCTTAAAGAAATAAAAAGAACAACCACGTGGGTGAACATAACAGCTGTGAAAAGAGAGAGTCTCCAGAAAATAAGAAAAAGATGAAATACTCAACTGGCAAAGAATATGGGAAGGCAAGTCACCAAAAATGTATAGTCAGGGGATCAGCAGGTGGCATGGCAGTTATGCTGCTGGACTCCCACATGGCTGACCACAACCACAGTTCGAGTCCCAGACCCAGTGGCTTGAAAATCACGCTGGGTACATATGAATGCGTGCCCACATGACCAAGGTCCTAGGAGGAGAATGGAGAAGGGATTGCAGCACGGTCATCCGCTCGGGGGGTGATTTCTCACACTCCCTCTCACTGTGTCTGTCTGCTTCTCTCTCCCAGGCAAGCACACAAGCCCTAAGGCAGAATGTTAAAAAAAGAAAAAGAAAAAAATGTAGAGTCAGGCCAGCAAGTAGCATGGAGGTGAAAACAGCTGAATCCCATATGGCTGATTTCACAGTTCGAGTCCTCAACCCCAGCAGCTTGAAAATCATGCCATGCATGTGTGCCCAAAATCCCAAGGGGAGAATGGAGATAAAGGGACCACAGCATGGCCATCCATCTAGGAGGTGATTTCTCACTCCCCACCTCTTCTGTCTCTGGTGGGCACGTGTTTTTAACAAACTAAAAACAAACTAAAAAAGTATAGTCAACACCACTTCAAAATTAAACTAATACAAATTAAAATAATAAAACATGGGGCTGGGAGGTGGCATGGTGGTTAAGGTGCTGGACTCACAAGGCCGATCACAGTTTGAGTCCTAGACCTGGTGGCATGCTTTCTCACTTTCCTTCTCTCTTTCTCTCTCTGCTGAATTCATGTGCACTATAGCAAACAAAATAATAATAAATAAAATAAATATTAAAAGTAATAAAACATTATTTTTCACTTATCAAATGAGTAAAAATTAGATTTAATAATATTCTGACTCATGGGACTGGCAGATGGCATGGTGGTTATGTTGCTGGACTCCCACATGGCCAACCATGGTTCAAGTCTCAGACCTGGTAGCTCGAAACTCACACCAGGTGCGTGTGCATGCATGTCCAAGATCCTGGGAAGAGAATGGAGAAAAAGGGAATGCTGCATGGCTATAACCCCCAGGGGATGATTTCTCACTTTCCCTCTCAGTTTCTGCTTGTCTGTCTCTCCAGTGAGTACATATACCCTAAGGCAAAAACTGCTTAAAAAAAAAAAATTCTGCATCCTAAGAGTGAAATAAAACAGATTCTCCATATTCTATTAATGGAAAAATAAATCAATATGAAATAAGTCAATATGAATAATCAATTTATAAAACCTAACTCAGATCACATCACTCCTCTGCTTAAAGTCCTTCGGTAGCCCCGTTTCAATGGGCTAAAAGCCAGTTGATTGCAGTGTGCTATGTGGACCCCAGTGCCTCTCCAGGCTCATCACCTACAACTGCTCCTCACTCACTTTGCTCCCAGTACTCCCACAACACACCTCAGGCATGCTCCTGTGTTCCCCCCCCCCCCCCACGCCACGCCTGCCCTTGCCCTTCATCCAGGCCTGGAACAAAGGTTCCCTCTCATCTCCTTCAGTTGTGGCTCAAATTTTACCTTCTACTGAGGCTTCCCCTGCCCCA